CAGTGGGCGAATATGCCTGAGTGCTTGGAATAGCTTGGAGTTTATTACCACCTTATACAAATCCAGTTCAATGTGATAACCTTAAAACACATGTGAACAGCCAATAATAGCAGCAGCAACAACAACAACTAAATACACATGTAGATATGACTGTTTAGCTTAACAACAACAATAAACAACAAATTTCGTCAAAAGTGGGTGCAAATTAAGTCGTTACCATGCATTGCACACCACACAGAGAGCGCAGAGGCCGATTTTGAAATCAACTATTTGTGCTGCTGGTGTTTGCTGCTGTTGCCGTTGGCACTTTTTTTTTTGTTTTTTTTTTTTGATTATATCTGGTTTATTGGAATTGGTTGCTGCATTTGATGGTGCAAAGATAGACAAGTAAACAGCAATTGTTGTTGATTTATTGGGGTACTCAGGCGCGACAATTTTGCTCAAGTGTAGATTACAACAACAGAAACTGCAGTACATACATATTTATTAAAACAGTAATAAATAGAAATAAAGCAACTAAAATTGTGGTACAACAAATACAATCTGTAGTCAGTTTTAACCCCAGTCGCGCGCATAGTAAACTCTTTAAAATTACGAATATCCATATGCCATACTCAGCTATATACATGTGTACATTAGGCTGCATCACTCCCTATACAAAAAAAAAAAAAAACCGTACTATTTTTCCATTGGAATTATAAAATCTATTCTATTTTAAGGCGTCCACCAAAATATTTCGGAAAAATATTAAGATTTACGTGAACTGGACCGATTTGAAAATATCTCCAAACATGGAGCTTTTTATGAAACAAAATATTTTCATAAAAAATTTGTTTTTTTAAATCCCCTCAAGTGACAAAACGGCTAAATTTTCAAAAATTTGAACAAAAATATTTAAAAAAAATTTGAAAAAATTTTCAATTGAATAGAAATATTGAGATTTTTGATGCTGTTTTTTTTTTAACTTTTTTCAAAGACTGGTATAAGAAAAACTTGAATAACTGAACCTAAACTACTCCTATTTAGACTTGTGAGATATCATTGGAAAGGTATTTTCTCGCCCTTTTTATTTCTTTGCTAATAAACTTATTCAAAGGATGAAAGAGAAAGGTAGAATGAACGAGCATTATTCCAAGTTGAATTTAGATGTGTTGGTATATGAAAAAAAAATAAAAATAAAATTGGTACACGAATGATTTTTTTTTTTTTGCAGAGAAATAAAGAGTGAGAAAATACTTTTCTACTGGGACGTCATAAGTTTAAATCAGAATAGTTTTAGCCCAGTTTTCAAGTTTTTCGTAAATCAATCTTTGAAAAAAGTTAACAGCATTAAAAATTTATTTCTTTTTTCAAAAATTTCTTTAAGAAACTATTTTTGTTCATAAAAAACAAAATTTTTAGGGGTATTTTATAATCGGTCCAGCTCACGTAAATCTTAGTATTTTTCCCAAATATTTTGGAGGAAGCCTTAAAATATAATAAATTTTATAATCCCGGTGGAAAAAACCGCAACATTTTTTGGTGATGCAGTCTAATGTACATACGTACATATATGTAAGCAACAAATTTATGCTATTAGTGGCAAAGATCAAACTAATAATGTATCTATGTGACTCTCAACGGCCTCTTTGTTCACCTGTGCTATGCGTGAATCGTGCCGCAAAGTGAAGGTGGATCGAATTGCCAACCCACTAACCGCTGCGACGACACATAGGCTGCAATTTTCCACTTATTAATCTCGCCGTACCACACTAATTTCCTTAATTTGTAAACACTTTAGTGGCATACGCTCTCTCTGTGTCATTGGTGTTTTTGTTGTTTGTGTTTGTGCTGCTCACCATAAATTGCAACTTCATTTGTATTACAAAGAGAACAACAACAAAGGTGTTGTGCCACAACTGAGATTATGGCACGCTTTCTGCCTCAAATGACTGCAGTTGCCAATGTTTGTCTATTAAAGCCTGTGTGTGTGTGTGGCTGTGTTTGTTTGTTTAATGCTCATTTTTAAGTTTTTTGTCTGCAAAGCTCGTAGATATTTTTCTTCAAAATAATTTTGTGAAAATTATGTGCTATTTCTTAATCAGCGAATGCGACTTTTAAGCGCGTAAATTTAAGGCTTGGCGTGTTGCTAATTCGTTTGTTAACGCAATTTTGTAAGATTTGAAAAAAGGGCTAAATTTAACCTTTTCCCATTTACGGTAAATTAAAGTAATTTTCGTACTTGAGTGTGTTCCATATGTAACTGAATATTTGCTTAGATGGTTTTTAACACAAATACTTGTAGACATGCAGTATGCCAATATTTATGTACACACATTAGGGTGGTCCAATTTTTTTTTCATCCACCACCCAGAACTGAAGAATTCGGAAAATCAGAAGGCTCCTATTTTTTATTCAAGTTGGTTAAATTTAATTGTGCCGCCACACAGTGCTTCCCTTTTTCGTAAAATGTGAGAAAAATAGAATTATGGCGGATGTAAATGAAAACTTTTTTCTTATGGCGATTTCGTTTCTACAAAAAATGTTGCCTTCCCATCGCCCTCTTCTTAGTGTTTGTGCGTAGATGGCAAAGAGAGGGTTGCATTTTTCGGAAGAAACGAAATCGGCATTAGTAAATTTGAGGACGCTGAATTCAAAATTGCGATTTGTTTTTATTTTCTGATAACTTTCATAATTTCACTTCTTGTAATATTTAGGTTCATGTAGTTAATTCGATTTTCAAAAATGACAATATTGGTCGAACAACGCTTTAGCTTAAAAATATTTTGAAGAGGGTTGCCACCGGTTTGTAAAGTGCAATGTAATCGAGTTATACAAAAGCTATGTATATATGAAATATTAAAATATGTGCGTCGAACGAAAGAATGTTAAAAAATCCTTAGTTTGAACATATAGAATATTTTTGAGGTGTCTGGACAGGGTTGCCACCTATTTAAAAAGTCAAAATCTAATTATTGAATAAGTTGCAGAAAAGTTCCAAAGTTCTGATTTTCTTGTGTGTGTTTTAGGCCACCCTAGTATACATATTTACATCCATATAAGTATGTATGTCTAGGACATTATCGAATCGAATCGGAAAATAAAATTCTGCATTCGTACGTAAGGAAAAATTAATTGCATTCTTTATCTTTTTTCGAAACTTTTTACATATATTTTTTAAACACCTGTTGGTAACCTTTTATTCTTTATCTAATTTCAGCAAAACACAAACGCCGCCTGCAACAGCAGTAGTAGTAGCACAACAACCACAAGCAGCTCAAATGTAAATAATAATAATAGCCCTAATTCCACAACACTGACAGGGAGTTATCGTCAATACAGTTCGGTGCATACACAACAACCGGCAGGGCCCGTGCGAGATATACAAATCGAACCTTACATCATACTCGATGATGATCTGAAATATTTCTACGATGATGTCAGAGACGTAAGTTTATAACTACGAGTAAATACATATACATATACGCATAAAGGCATAAGTGTTATGTGTGTGTTCTAATGCATCTATGAAGCGAACGATAAAAGGAAATGACGAATTATATAAAAATTTTTTTATGGACGGTCGCTTTGCATTACGCCTAATTAGGTGTGAAATAGGTAAATTATATTTCCGTAAATGGCTTAAAGTATGTAATGACTTTTGTTGGTAAGGTAATAAGCGTACGTACAAAGTTAGTTTATTCTATTTACATGTGTACATATTTCTGTACATTAAAAAAAAAATGCATCTTCAAGTTTTTTTATGTCTATGGAAAATCGGCAAAATTAATTTGTTCCCTTCAAATGTCTTTATATATTTTCTAAATATTATCCCTTGACATCACTTTTTGGAAGCTTTAAAATATGCCTTTTGAGGGTAGGCAACTAGTGTTGCTACCAGCAAAATGAAAAATTTACAGAAATCGTATAATTTCAAAGTATATTATAAACAAAAGTTTTGAGATTATACAAAATTTATACAAGCTTTATTTTTTGGCTTTATTTGAACAAATGAGGCTGCAAACCCGCAATGCTCTGAGGAATTACAACATTCTTCCAATAAGACTCGACATTTAAACTAGGATCCAAATGTAGATCTGCAAAATTTAAAATTCCGTTAAAGCGAGCCAGATGCAAAGCTTCCGCACAATGAGGACCCAAAATGTTGAAAAGTGCGTCGCTAAAGTCGACTGCTACACTAATATATACATACTTGAGACAAATTAAGAAACTCTTCGAAATTTCCGTGATCGAAATCCTTGTCACTAGTTCTTAAAATTTGCGTTATCCAATAGTTGGACATAACCGTTTTCAAAAGTTTGTTACACATGGCTTTACTTTGTAAAGCAATGTACGACCTGATTGAAAAATTATATTCAACTATATTCTTTAAGAAAACACAGCGAGTATTTCATGAAATTAAGGTATGTAAGGTATAGGGTTCATCAAAGGTTTGTGAAATAAATCCTGCCGTCAAAAGCCTCATGTAGGGGCGTATAGCTGCAGATTTCTCTCAACGCCTACTTCTTTTGGTGGGTGGGTCAAAACTTTTTGAATTGCAAAATTGAAGTATTCTTGAAAGTCTTTTAGCTTTTCTTGATGAACATAACTTCTACTAAAATATGCACCAATCTTTCGTAGCAAATCTTCGCTATGCATATTAATGTTACGATGATTCACACTATACAAAGGTAGAGATTAAAATATTTTATACAAAAATTATACATACCTTTGTATAATTATACTGATTTCGTATAAGTGGCAACACTGGTAGCAACAGGTACTGCGATTATGTGTTTGTAATTTCACGAATTAGTCGCATGAAACGTATGTAGTGAAAATATACGAATTTACAATAGGGGTATTCACGATCCGGTGCATACTGTCTAGCATGGTGCATATATGGCACAAATAGCTTGATTGTTGTTGTTTCATGTGTTCAAACAACAACAAAATTATCCAATTATGCTATTTATGCTATCTATGCACCGGGCCGTGAATACCCCTAATGTTTCATGAAATGATTTCGTAAAATGACAAACGCATATGCATAATAAGTATCTTCAGCCCTTTACCACTGACTATAACCATATTTAAATTCTGGAAACCCATTGTCTGCAATTCCTTTGCTTTGATCGCATAATTGAAATGGGAATATTCATTCTCGAATTTCATATGGCGTACTTCGTTTTTGAACATTGAATTACGAATGGAGCTGCTGTTAGAACATAGCATAATATTGATTGATTTCATTGAGCGAAACGTCAAATCAAAATGTCCCGCAGAACAAAAATTCGGAAATTGAGTTAGCTTCATACGCAGGCCGTTCAATTTCGGTTGATCCCATACAATTTGTATGTGCCTGAGTAATTTTTGACAGTAAATTGGGGGCGTGCGTGAATATTAGGTTAGCCTGTAATTGATTAGCCAACATCAATAGCCGCGTTGATTTTGTTTACATAAATACATATTTTCATTGATGTGCAATTTTTAGAGTTAATATCTTAGAACGCTGGCGATAAAATTACTGCGGTCACTAGATATCTTACCGTCTGGGCCGTCCCCGTTTATGGGAACATATACGAGAAAGTTCATTAAAGTTGGATCGTCCCTTGATGAATCCGAAGCCGAGACAATAAACCGTGCACTCGGAATAATCAAGAGTGGAATGCACTTGCAATTCGCACGAATAGCTGACCTACGATGTACAGAACTTCAAAACTGCAAGGAGTAATCTGGTCGCACTACAGTAAATGCTCAGTTATGCATACTTGGCAATGCATCAGAGTTGCTACATAACCCAGTGTAAAAAGTAGTAATGCATTCCATGCGTGATAAATAATCGAATGTATTTCTTATGAGTTTTACATCCAATTACTGTTTATTATATAATCAGCATTCTAATGTATTTATTCAAAAAGTCACAAAAATTTCATATTAAATTACATTCATTTCTCGCTACTAGGTAATGCAAAATTGAATGCCCCACTTTTCCAAGGACATCGCCTTGGGGGAAAAAGTGTATTTTCGAATGTGAAAAGTGTTGTTTTTCAGATTATTTTTTCGATTACTATACCTTACATTTTCCCACTGGCAGCGAATCTGTTAAATGAGCTTTGCGCGTAAGCGTTTAACCAACGCACAGCACTATATATCGATGGGCCTCTGCAATAACGGCACAACTCAAATCTTCATGTTTTTGAGTTGTATATTTAGTTTATAAATAGCCATATTTTTATGTGGCAATTTTTGTTTTTACCACTCTAATGTATGTACATATGTACACTTTTGTTTAACACATATGTAAAACGTTGAGCATACATTAGCAGATACAAATAAAGTGGGATAAAAATTCATGTGTGCACCTGTTTAAGTGGCGACGGTATAC